ATTAGACGTTTACAGAATAGTCAGGGTCGCTATAATGTAATGTTGCTTGTATCAGTACAATTAGACGTTTACAGAGTGGTCAGGGTCGCTATAATGTAATGTTGCTTGTATCAGTACAATTAGACGTTTACAGAGTGGTCAGGGTCGCTATAATGTAATGTTGTTTGTATCAGTACAATTAGACGTTTATAGAGTAGCCAGGGTCGGTAAAATGTAATGTTGTTTGTATCAGTTCAATTAGACGTTTACGATAGTTACCCGTGCTGCATGATGTCCCATTGTATCCAGGATCACATCCTCCAGGAGGACACTTGCCTCCCACGTTGTCACATGTTGCGTTCTTACAGAAACATTCCGAAGCGCAGTCTTGTCCGAAGTAGTAATCGTCACACGCTGAAACCATTGTTATACGGGGATCATTTTCAACAGCAACGTTGCGGAATAAAAAATGTCCAGATATGTACACAATGTAAATGTATTCCACTCACACAAAGATGGAGTGAAATTGCAGTGATATAAATACAATATGTTGTGCATTGTACAGGTTCTTTCTTAATGATTACATGAAGGTTTTATGTGGTATGATGTGAATAAGAAGACATCACACTAAGAGAAAAGGTTAGCATATATACAACACGAGGTTGTAACGGGAGCTGAGTTCATCATTAAAACTGAAACAAAGATCATATTTTTTTTATTTTATTTTTTTTGGGGGGTATTACATCCTTTTAACAGCTATGGTCACTTATTTGAACTGATTAATTTAGTTTCAATGAAAACAAATCAACCCAAAGAAGGCACATATTGTTCCAAAAGGAATGTCTACAGTCTACTTCCAAACCTTGTCATCGAACTCAGCAAATATAGTGTCCAAAAATGTTTGGACAGAAGAAATACTTGAAGACGAGGATATTCTAGATTGATAAAAAGATCTGTTGACTTCTTGACAATCAACATTCAATTTGTTCCTTTTCCTGAGTATACAGTGTCACAATATGGCGTAACCCTGATTTAATTGTACCTAGACTTGAAGTGAGAAGTTAGGATAATGACTTAGTTCAGTAATGTTTTCCAAATGTCTTTTCTCTTAATAGTTATACATATACACGCTTCATTTATATAAACACGTACCATGAGATTGTGAAAGCTTAACTGCCATACGGTTATTTCCACGGTTATGACTATCAATCTATGAATAAGAATAAATAACCTGAGATTGAAAGTATGATCAGTATATTCGTTTTATGGTTTTCCTCTTTCTTTATGTAAATAAAGAAACAAGTTTTTTTTACGTTTTTCACACGTGGATCCGGTGTAGCCTGGTTCACAACCTTGCATACAGGTTCCATTTCCGGGGAAGCATAGATTGTTGGTACAGTTTGCTGGACAGTCTTCTGCACAGTTTGGGCCATGTTTGTTTATGGGACAACCTGTGTTGAATATGCATTAAAGTGTATTCCAGTATATCTCGTCTAAGATAATATACTTGAATCATAAAATAATAAATAAGCTACATTACACAACTTACGTCTGTCCAACAATTGACTGTAGAGAGGTCACAAAAACTTTTAGTTGAAATAGATATAACTAATACAATTAAATGAGTTGTCTGTCAATGTACGAAAAGTGTAAAAAAAAAAAAAAAAAACCAAAAGAGTTTAAGGATGGCAAAGATATTTCTATCGGACTATTTGTTTGAAATGTTATTTAATGTCACTTATACAATATGGCATTCATGTTTGCCGGGCTGCTGTGTCTTTAAGACTACGTTATCATAATATTCATTTTGGATAGACTACCTGCAAAATGTGTAACGGATAATCCACTATACTGTCAAAAATGATCAATATCAGCATGGTACTTTGTAAAAAAGTTTACTTTAAGCATGTGCAAAATCCAGCATCGGCTGGATGTACTTAGACTATCATGTGGCACGTTTTATATTGTATGTTTAGTTTAATGGTTTCTAAAATACTACTCAGCTCGAAAAGCTCCATAAAATGTCAGGGGAGATAACACCTGATATACTAATCTCGGGATGTATCGCCAGGGAATGACAGAGATATATCACCTAAATACAACTATATGAATGACAGATGATATAACATATTTCACACAAGGTCGTCATTACCCAGAAGAGATTTGAGAAATGCCAAAGATAAAACCCGAAGTACTATTTCTCCTTCATACAGCAGGCATGTCCAGGAACAACAGATAAGATAACTCCCTTTTTCGGAAATGCATATGAGAAAAAATAATGAATACAGGAAATATTTGACTTCTCAGAGGTGTACATCCTTAATGGGAGCTACTGGTAATTGGGTTTTACACAAAACTCATAATTGACACATTAATTGCGTCACCAGTAATGATAAAACAATCCTGATACATTGTGTGGATGTGCTATTACATCTGGGTGAAGCTGTTATTATGTAGATGTCGATACAAAGTTTCGGTTTTATATTTCATTAATCATTTATGATTGTGTGCAATCTTATAATATGAATAGTCTAGGGACCTTATTCGGCATTCGTAATATTAAGCAAATATCAGAACACTCTCAAAGCAATTAAATTATTGTTAAGTGATGGAGTCGATACAAATGCTTGAAAACCAATTTTCAATGTTATGTAAAAACCAATATGTCAAACAATTATAACTAATTATAACTAAACTACTATTTTAAAGACACAATGTATTCCTTCATAGCACGTTAAGTGGATCTCGAAAAATATAAACAATAGTAAAGAATTCCTGATGAGTTTCTAACATATGCTAACCGTACAAAGATACAAAAGATATGGTTAATTCCAGTATTACATATTTATGAAAATTCTATCAATACTATCACTAAAATGAAATTCAAAAGACAAGTATCTGCATACAAGCGATATGTAAAAAAAACCGTCTCACTTACATATCTTTGAGATGTATTTGCCCTGTCTCCCCATTAAAAAAATCCCCATTGCATTCCACAGTGTATAAAAGCATGCAGCAAATTATCTTTGTATTTTAGTAGTTTTTAATATGATTCTAGGATTGAAATTTGTATATTACTTCTTCATATAATGAAAGTGTATCAGTTCCGCATCGTCCTTGCAAATTAATCGTAAATCGTACGAGTAAACATGATGATTCTTTGAAAATGTAGGTTGAATATAAATATCAATAAGGTTTGATAACTTACCCATTACCTTGACTTCACACAATTCCAGAACTGCATTGTTACTATAGTCTGATCCAGAGAGTGTCTCCCTTTGGTTGTACAAAGTTACGTAACGTCCTATGTTACTACAGGACTGGTTTTCGTGGTTTGCACTACTTAGTGCAGGGTTCGTGTCACTGTAACAAATGTCGGCCTGTGTAATGGGTAGATATGTGGAAGACGCCGTCACAATGATGGAGTATCCATTCCGACGTGTTTGATCTGTGGTAACAATGGTTAAACGAAATGAAACATTATTTTCAATGACATCATTAACTGATATTGTAAAANAAACTTTCAAAGCAAAATACTTGAATGTATACAAAACAATAAATCTTCAAACACCTCGTTTTTGTTATTAAAGTTCTGTCAACGTGAGCTAGACTCAGATAATAATACCAACCATCACTTCATTTATTTATCAAATTTAAAATTAATGTCATATCAAGACAAACAAATCAAACTTAAATACAATTATAATCACTTACGCGTATTCTGGTCATTTCCTCCTTTCCTGAATATGACTTCCACATGATCTATTACGACCGTTTGCTCAAGATCAACCTGCCAGAAGGTGGTTTTCTGGTTTTTTATGGTGTACAGACATTGTGGGATGGCTGCATTATTCGGATCGTTTAACAAGTCGGAATCGTTTCCATCAACAACTAAACTGGACGGTCCCTTTCCTTCCCGATAATCTGATGACTTTGTTGGGCGTCCCTCGGACAAATTCACTGTAATATACAGAATAAGCATTTTCATCACTGTAGTCCCTAGTCTTCTCTGAAGGTTCACTTAATAGTCACAATTTGTTGAATCTTGACTGCTTACTTTATTAACGAAAAATATTTTACTTTGTTTTAAAATTTTCAACTAATAAACTGTAACATATTCATTTTATTACCATTTTCCCTAAATGAATAGAGTGAATAGAGTATATTTTTGCTCTCTCTCTCTCTCTCTCTCTCTCTCTCTCTCTCTCTCTCTCTCTCTCTCTCTCTCTCTCTCTCTCTCAACAAAGTTTGAGTGAAATTGCAATGACATAAATAATGCACCAGGTTCCTTCTCAATAAGTACATGTAGGTAATGTGTTATGATGTATTACATCCTTTCAACAGCTATGGTCATTTAACACTGCATGAAAACCGGAATACCCGGAGAAACAAACCAAGGTATTCAGTCAGTAGCTAGGAACTGGCCCACGTAGGCCTCGAACCCGTGGCCCCCAGTGGTGCAAGGCTAATAATCATAGATGGTCATAAATCCTAACCTCTCGGCCACCACAGCAATGCATATCTTACCCGATATTCAATGTACTTTTTGGAATTTCATAACGAAGGATACTGCCGATGAATGTATAACTCATATTGCTTTACTGATTCTAAATCAAATCCTAATGACAATATGACGTAACGTTGTTATACCAGTTGAAGGTGACTTTCAGCGATTGTACCGACAATGTGTACTGGATTGATTAACCTATAGGACATTTTAACAGTGACTATTATTAAGTTGATAGAAAGTTATATTATCGTTACAGTGGCATTTATAGAACTTTTTGTGACGTCACAAATCAAAGGCGACGTATGATTGTGACGTCGACTCAAAATTTCCTTTTTCGATGGATCTTTTACAATCTTCCACTTTTTCAAAAATAAACCAACAACAGTAGACAAAAAATGGAATACTTGTCTGTCAAAAGATATGTGTAATTCCTCAATGACAGATTTTATATACAACCCCGTTAAAAAGCAGCAAAGTGATTGAATGTTGACAAATACATAAACTTCCTATCGAAAGAATATTAGATAAATTAGCGGTTATAAGTCGTCCCTGGTGGTCATGTTGCAAGTATAGATCGATGAAGGGGGCTTAAGAAAAGGAGTCGGTTGAGTTATTGATTACCAGCACAGGAGGGTATATACGATAGATCTAGTCAATACATGTGTTTTTATTCAAAAACAGCACATCGTTGCACATCTTTATGTGAAGTTAAAGGACTTGTCTGCGAATCAACGAATTTAGTTTCAATGAAAACAAAAACGAATCAGCCCAAAGAAGGCACAGATTGTTCCAAAAAGAATGTCTACAGTCTACTTGAAAACCTTGCCACCGAACTCAAAAACGTATTGTCCAAAAATGTTAGGACAGAATAATTATTTGTAGAATGTTCTAGATTGATAAAAATATCTTTTGAATTCGTGAAAATCAACTTTCCATTTATTCCGCTTATTGAGTATACAGTGTCACAGTATGATTATAACCATGATATAACTGTACTAAGACTGGTGGTGAGAAGTTGGGATACTAACTTAGTTAAGTAATGTTTCCCACATGTCTTTTCTCTTAATGATTAACTGTACTGATATTATGAAATAATAGTTATACATATATACGCTTCATTTATATAAACACAGTGTACCATGAAGTTTGAAAGCTTAACTGCCATACGGTTATTTACAGCAACCTGTTTTACCAAACGATCAATCTATAAATAAGAATATGAAATACTGAGATTGAAAGCATCATTGTTGTATTCGTTTCGAGACCTTCCGCTGTCTTTATGTAAATAAAGAAACAAGTTATTTACGTTTGTCACACGTGGATCCGGTGTAGCCTTGTTCACAACCTCGCATACAGATTCCATTTCCGGGGTAGCATAGATTGTTGGTACAGTGTGCTGGACAGTCTTCTGCACAGTTTGGGCCATGTTTTGTTTTAGGACAACCTGTGTTCAACATGTATTAATGTGTATTTCAATATGTCTCGTCTAAGATTACGTATATTAAATTATTAAAAAATGTATACTACATCACACAGCCTACTTCTGTCTTACAACTTCCTGTTTAAAATTCAAAAATTTATTTTTGGCGTCAGATCCGATTGAAAAATGATGCTTTAAAATATATTTTTTCTCTTCGTAGATTTGCGGTTTTCCTGGGCCGCAATTACATTAAAAATATTTGTAAGTAATATGGACGATTAATAATAAATTCAACGGCCACCCGTAAGTTTACGGCATTTCGTCATTTTTGGGTTATATTTATAGATTTTCATAAATGGAGGAAACAGCAGGTGGTAAACATAATATATGCCAAACTTGATGTTTGTAGTGACTTAGTAAATGTTGACTGTTATGACCAACCCTAGGTGAGTCATCAGAAGGAGTAGGAAATGAGGAAGAAGAAAAAAGTTATAGTTGAAATAGAATTAACTAATGTACTTAGATTATCATGTGGTCTGGTTTATTTAATATGTATCGCTTGCAACGGTCCTCATTACAATGATACACTTTCTATGTTGTATGTTTAGTTCAGTGATTTCTAAAATACTACTCAGCTCGAAAGGCTTCATGGAATGGTAGGGGAGATAACACCTGACATATTAATTGCCGAAACACGGGATATATCGCCTAAATACAACAATATGAATGATAGATGATATAACACATTTCACACAAGTTCATCATTTTCCAGAAGAGATTTGAGAAAGGCCAAAGATAAAACCCGAGTAACTATTTCTCCTTCATACAGCAGGCATGTCCAGGAACAACACATAAGATAACATCGTTAATTCGTGACATCTTATCATAGAGAACACTTCAAGGAATTACAAAGGAAATAACGTCTGGAATACTCAACGTAATGTTAGATAATAGCACATGGATTACTGGCCCTTTGCAACATAGCACATAGCTCCAGGCTGGATAAAAAGCCCTTCTTAACTCGGAAAACAACACCAAAGAAACGGTAGAAGATAAAAATAAATAACTATAGCCCTTCGTAACACAAGAAACAACTCCAAAGAGAAGGTAGAAGATAACACATGAATAACTAGCCCTTTCGTTATACAAAAAAACAACTCCAAAGAAAAGGCAGAAGATAACACATGAATAACTAGCCCTTCGTACTACAAAAAACCACTTCAAAGAAAAGGTAGAAGACAACAACTGGAAAACTACCCATGTGTAGCACGGTAAACCTACTTGCTGGATTATTAGTCATTTTTACACAGAAAACTATAGGAAATGACAAAATTAACACATGGATAAAGTGAGTAACAATTTTAATGGAGCCAGAAATTACGGTCGTCTTAAGGATGTACTTATCTGAGATTTTAATCACGTTGAAGTCTGTTTTTGATTTCGTGTAAGTTTTTTTTGTAATATTTAACAAAGTATGTTCAATTTTAAAAGCCAGTGTGTCGACTTTTTTAATTGTATCAAGTTCATTTTAATGAACATGATATGCTATAAAGTGGAAAATAATACATTTGTTGGCATTTGTTTTTAAATATTTAGTTTCACTAAAGCACTTTTGACTTTTGACCCCAAAATGGTGAAAAATAACACAAATAATAAAAATAAAATAAAATAATAAAAGCATACGGACCCCCATTTTTAATGCTGTTTTAGAAAGAGAAGTCTATTTTCTTTTGATCAGCAGAATAATTAAAAAAACCAATATCAGAACTTTATATATCAAGCGTTAAATCTTCAAACAAATGGTGAAAAAAATAGTATTTTGTCATTGAAAAATAAGGGGTAGGGGGTAACTTAAACTGCTTTTCTGTGTTAAAAAGATAAGTTAAAGAAATTTCATTTTCATAATTTAAAAGAAAATACTATTTTTGTCAGTTCTACAAACATTAATACATATCTGATAGCACTTAGAAGATATTGTATGAATTTGTCAAAATTCACTTAAAATCACATACTCTGTCAAATTGGTATCTTTGACCGCTCATATGATTCTTTTTTCATTTTCTGCTATACAATTAACTCCCTGTTTTCGGAAATGCATATGAGAACAAAAAGTTGAATACCAGAAATATTTGACTTCTCAGAGGTGTACATCCTTAATGGGAGCTACTGGTAATTGGCTTCTACACAAAACTCATAACTGACACATTAATTGCGTCACCAGTAATGATAAAACAATCCTGTTACATTGTGTGGATATGCTATTACATCTGGGTGGAGCTGTTAAAATGTAGATGTCGATACAAAGTTTCGGTTTTATATTTCATTTATCAGTACATTTATGATTGTGTGCAATCTTATAATATGAATAGTCTAGGGACCTAATTCAGCATTCGTAATATTAAGCAAATATCAGAACACTGTCAAAGCATGAGATTATCGTTAAGTGATGGAGTCGATACGAATGCTTGAAAACCAATTTTCAATGTTATGTAAAAACCAATATGTCAAACAATTATAACTAATTATAACTAAACTACTATTTTAAAGACACAATGTATTCCTTCATAGCACGTTAAGTGGATCTCGAAAAATATAAACAATAGTAAAGAATTCCTGATGAGTTTCTAACATATGCTAACCGTACAAAGATACAAAAGATATGGTTAATTCCAGTATTACATATTTATGAAAATTCTATCAATACTATCACTAAAATGAAATTCAAAAGACAAGTATCTGCATACAAGCGATATGTAAAAAAAAAACGTCTCACTTACACATCTTTGAGATGTATTTGCCCTGTCTCCCCATTAAAAAAAAACCCATTGCATTCCACAGTGTATAAAAGCATGCAGCAAATTATCTTTGTATTTTAGTAGTTTTTAATATGATTCTAGGATTGAAATTTGTATATTACTTCTTCATATAATGAAAGTGTATCAGTTCCGCATCGTCCTTGCAAATTAATCGTAAATCGTACGAGTAAACATGATGATTCTTTGAAAATGTAGGTTGAATATAAATATCAATAAGGTTTGATAACTTACCCATTACCTTGACTTCACACAATTCCAGAACTGCATTGTTACTATAGTCTGATCCAGAGAGTGTCTCCCTTTGGTTGTACAAAGTTACGTAACGTCCTATGTTACTACAGGACTGGTTTTCGTGGTTTGCACTACTTAGTGCAGGGTTCGTGTCACTGTAACAAATGTCGGCCTGTGTAATGGGTAGATATGTGGAAGACGCCGTCACAATGATGGAGTATCCATTCCGACGTGTTTGATCTGTGGTAACAATGGTTAAACGAAATGAAACATTATTTTCAATGACATCATTAACTGATATTGTAAAATAAAACAATATTGGTTCTATTATTGAAACAACATTTTATTTTTTATTTTCATATGCTTTGTCGATTTTTCTTATTTGTGGCTATTCAAGACTCTTTATTATCGTATATAATAAAGGGTCAGTAATTTTCCTGCTTTTTGTTTTCTTCAGTGCGTTTCATTTGAATTATCAAGAGAGATTACCATGCAAGAAATCTTAAAGAATATGGTTTCAAAGTGTTTTATTTTCGAAAAATGATCTAAAACTTTCAAAGCAAAATACTTGAATGTATACAAAACAATAAATCTTCAAACACCTCGTTTTTGTTATTAAAGTTCTGTCAACGTGAGCTAGACTCAGATAATAATACCAACCATCACTTCATTTTTTTATCAAATTTAAAATTAATGTCATATCAAGACAAACAAATCAAACTTAAATACAATTATAATCACTTACGCGTATTCTGGTCATTTCCTCCTTTCCTGAATATGACTTCCACATGATCTATTACGACCGTTTGCTCAAGATCAACCTGCCAGAAGGTGGTTTTCTGGTTTTTTATGGTGTACAGACATTGTGGGATGGCTGCATTATTCGGATCGTTTAACAAGTCGGAATCGTTTCCATCAACAACTAAACTGGAAGGTCCCTTTCCTTCCCGATAATCTGATGACTTTGTTGGGCGTCCCTCGGACAAATTCACTGTAATTATCAAGAATTCTTATCATTGTAGTCTTTAGTTATCTCTGACAGTCCAGATGAATGAATGAAATCTACAGACAAGATAAAAGAGTACTACATTGTAGTCACCTTCACGAAATGGTCTCAATTTACTGAATCGCCGCAAAATGCAAGCAAAGTAGTAGCATATCAGGATCCCATAGGACAAGAACGCTTAATTTATATTACGAAAGTGTTTGTTCTTTGTTTCAACAATAAACTGTCTTTTTTTCTTCATTTTATTACCATTTACCCTCAGTGAATATATCTTAATGCAATGTTGTTAATATATTAGTAACGGACTGTTTGTCAATTTAATTACTTCGGCGAAGAAGAGTGAACCACTAAGCGTTGCCTGGACCATTAAGCTTTGATCTTACCGCTCAGCGGAGACACTACGTTTTCTCTCTTCAGGGGTTTAGTTGAGTTTTCCACTTATGTTAGATAACGCTACTTACCCGACGTACTAGTTGTCATGACGAGCTCGAGTCTGTGACTCTGTTAGATTATTGCTACGCTGTATCTAGCCGTTCCGCTAGTTTTCATGACGTCATCGCGCTTTCGGCTTCGGCAATACATTTTATTAGGTTATCTTGCTGGCGGACTAGTTTCACGACATTATGGATATTTCGACTTAATGCATAAGAGTACCTTATCAACTTTGCAGTGCGAGGACACTTAGCATCGTATTCTAATAAAAAAATGTGTCCTGTTTGAATTTCCGGAATATTCATCTCACGTACTCATCTCATGTGTTTTTACAGCATATTTATTTGCTTTTTTTGTTTGTTTTTGTTATGTTTTTAGAAAATTTAGAGCAAATGTTATTTTTCAACGAAAGTGTCACACAATTTTATTGTTCAAATTTCTCACTTCCTAACGCAAAATTACATTCTCTTTGGCGTCGTTTTGCGTTAAATTTTTGACGTTGGTTTGCTATGTTTTGCTTTGTTTGGCGTTGCTTTGGCATTGCTTGATACTGTTTGGCGTGTTTGGGCGGTACTATTTGACGTTTTGACGCACACGTTTATTTTAATAGTTGTTACACAAATTTGATTTCTTTAAACTTCATACTGCTATGTATGCCATGTTTGGCTCGCATTTGCGGTATTGAGGGATTGACCTTCATTTTGACAGCGTCTACGGTAGTACGCAGGTAGCTACGAACATATTCTATGGTGCGCATTAGTTGCCTGGAGTTAATACTTTCATTAATCAAAACGTGATGCGATCTTTACAATGGTACAACTTTAAAATCGGTTCAATGTTGGTGATTTTCAATTAGATGATGGCTTCACTTTTGCTACAAGATAGCAGCTACTTAATTATCTCGATCATTGATATTGATAATTGATATGCGATGTTAGAAAAAAAACTCTTTTATATGTAAATTACATAATTAATGGTTAGTTACATTCTATCATGTCTATCTAACTCGGATTCAGATTAGCTTGAGGGACAGCAGGCCGGAGGGCCGGTATGGGTCCGGGGTAGATACGTTGAGGCTATGGAGAGGGTAATGGTTTAAGTTTCATATCTTGTATTATGTGAATGTTCCAGTTCAGCATGAAAATATAAAGCAATAATACAATTTGAGTGAAATTGATGGCTGAGATTTAATTGTTTGCAACCTTAATTGCGTTAGACATAATGATATGGCGCATGCAATGCAGATATAGAGGGTGGGATCGGATATAGGTTGGTGCAGGATATAGCCTTTGTACGGCTAGTAGTATATATATCGTACACACAAAGACATCATATGTTTTCAACACGTGTGGGTGACTGAATTATAGGATATATAATAATTCACACGTATGTGTCATTATGCGGAAGGAGGAACACGTTTTGTATTCACGTGTTTTAGTTACTGTACAATAGCACCTATGCGATTCTCAAATAAAATACACAACAATATATACACCATGGTATATACAACATAGCGTTGAAGACACCACGAAATTCGCACGTATGTGTCATTGTAAATGAATCAAAAGACCGAACATAATACTTGTAACAAAAGATTTTATAATAATACATATCAACTGTCAGTTGTTCAATACCTCAAACTCACTAAACCGAAATATGTATACATGTATTTACTTATCAGATTACATCTACACAGTGTAATGTAGAACCGTGTGAGCCTATTACCTTCGGTTAGTTTAGACATAACAATAAAACAGTTTTGTCGTGTTGTGATAAAAGTGGAGGTCGCTTTGTAGTTCGGTGTAGTTCGGTTCTGGGTCTGTGGTTACATGTGAGACCGGGGATTGTGGTTTAGATAAAAACATCCGTTTTAAACATCCCCTTGCTGTGTAGTTATTTACATGCACCTTCAATACAGATTCATACAACTCTTCCCGTTAAGTTTAAACCATTCATATTAATCAGGTATATTGTCTAGCCCGAGTTTCCTCTGGTCCTGACACCAGATTTAGACACTAGATAGATCGCTGGTATGGGGCCAGAGCACACTGCTATATGAAAACGTGGAACTATCTGACACCATTTGGTGTCGGAGAGGTTTGAGGTGCTGACAACCAATTATCGACTATGACACAACACATACCTCACATATATCGATACATAGATTATTTATTGATCCAAATCCGCTCTAGTTATCCCAAACAGCTTCTAAATTCCGTCAGTAGAGTCGTCGGTTTTAAATAGTTCAAAAGGACCTGTTACAGGAACAAAAGAATTTTGCCCACAAAGCAATTTAACCATTACTGGATTGTTGTTTTTACTGTTGTTGGTTTTTTATTTGACAACACATAGCCAAAATTGATCATTCAATTTTTTTTCTGAATTTCTCCTTTCTCAGTTAAATCTTAGGTCTTATTATTCATATTATTCCCGACAAGTAATTGGCCAGAAGTGCATCGAGTGTCCATTGATGAAAACTGATATTGACTTGGAGCGCATGATTTTTGTTTAAGGACTGGGTGTTTCTAAAAATAGAATTATGACGTGTCTCCAAACAATGCACCGTCCCACTTCCGAAGCTTTTTTTAAAAAAAAAAATCAGATTGCTTACATTACTGTAAATGTACATATACATTACTTAAAAGTTATTACATTACTTAAAATAATAAAACAATTGAAGCATTTAACTTCGGTCAATACCTGGATTTATCAACCCGAGAAAAGATATATTAACCTCGGAATGCCTCTGTTAATATATCTTTTCTCGGGTCGATAAATCCAGGGATCGACCCCAGCCAAAGGCTATAATTGAATAATGTTTCTTTTTTGAATGCATTCATAATATGCAGTCTCTGAATTTGCGAGCTGAAGGCTGGAGCGGTTTAGCATCTGTTAAATGTGCATAGTATCCTAGATAATACAGTATTGATGCGACATGAGTACACATACCCGATGTTCTCTTTCCTGCAGGACACACGCAATAGTATGCCTTGACAGGATCCTCTGATGCGTGTAGGTCAAACTCTATGCAGACATTGTATTTTGCCTGCGACCTGTGGCGAGAGTGTATTTAGCCTCGGAGAAGGTCATCAGCATGTTGGTACACCCATATCTGATCATCACCTCCATCTGTCTGATGTTCTGTGATATAGCCAGGTGCCAGCTTCAGCTGATATGTACCACAAGCCAAAATCGCATTGACCTGTAGTTATTGACGATTTATTTTGACATTGGTCATACAACATATTATCCTTATGATGACACATTTACCGCATACCGATTTTTTCGAAATTTCTACTATCGTCGGTCAACATAATGTGCCAAATAATATCCAAAGTATGTTGGTGTACAACAGCCGGAAATATGTCTATCACTTCCGTAAAGATGCGAAAGAACTAAAAATGTACATAACATACTAAACTTTTATGTGTGTGAGACTGCTTAACTTTTTTTATTTTGCAACATCTATCTTTATAGTTGGGCTCATCATGAGCAGCAGATCTTATTGATGAAAATTTGATCAGTTGCGATGATAAATTGATGCGACATATTGTTAAATGATTAAACATGACTATAGGTCATAAGGTTGTTGGATTTTATTGGAAATAGACGTTGCTACAAGTTGACATTTTTATTACAAATTTACCGGTTCTCAAATTTTCTGAAATTTTCACTATCATATCTCAACATAATGCACTAAATAATACTAAAAGATTTTTGGTGTACAACAACCGGAAATTGGTGTTTAGTTCCGTAAAACAATTGATGTAGCAAAAAAGTAAATGAAAATACCAACATTTTTAGAGTTTAAGATTTTATAACTTTTTTATTATGCAATGTTTTTTTTACATATTTGAATTCATAATTTGCAGCAGATCCTACTTTAAATAATATAATATTATTTGATAGCGTAAAACATTGTTTTGATAGTTTTTTGGACAAAAAAAGTGAACCCTGTCGTACACCTTTGGAAGGCGGCAATAAATAGTTCATAGCACAGGCCCTGGGGACCTTTTTATTTTTTTAAAAATATCTCATGGGTCGTGTCTTAGGGAGCTACAAATATAACCCAGTAATGGTTAAATTGCTTTGTGGGCAAAATTCTTTTGTTCCTGTAACAGGTCCTTTCCCACCTTAGCGAATGCCATTTTAGTAGGTCATGAAAGTGACTAATCAACAAAAAGAGGCGGTACGGAAATCTTATAAATAAGAATGATATAATCTGTTTTCGGTCCGTCCGGAGCAGTACGGCTTGTTGATTAGTCACTCCCCTGACCGACAAAAATTGGCGTTCCCTCAAGTGGGAAATTTTGAACTATTGAAAACCGAGGACTCTACTGACGGAATTTAGCAGCTGTTGGTGATAATTAGAGCGGACTTGGATCAATAAATAATCCATTATGTAAGCACCTCAAAACTCTCCGACACCAAACGTTGTCGGAGAATTCCACGTTTTCATATAGGAGTGCGCTCTGGCCCCACACCAGACATCTATCTGTCAAATTGTCTAAGTCTGTTGTCAGGGCCAGAGGAAACTCGGGCTATCTATTGCC